GGGAGACACGGTGAGGCCCAGTGTAGCTCAGCCGGACCTATTCCAGTCAGAACAGCCTCTGCTAGTGAGCGGGAGTGTGTGTCAGCACCCCCTGCAGTCTGCCTCCAGCAGGGAGCAGGCAGGACTACGAGGGGGCGCTCGCCCGTGTCCACACGCGCTGACCGTGACAGCGCTTCCTGCGCCGCGCGGGTCCGGGGAGCAGCTGTCTCGTGAGCGGCGCCTCCGGTGGGCTGTGGGCTTCCCACGCCTCCCCCTGCCTCTCAGTTTCCACCTCCCGCGCGCCGGCCGCGCCAGGGGACCTGACTTCTATGAATTTCTGGTTCCTGAGAAAAGGGGAAGTTCAGGGTTCACGGGTGACCTGGCCCTGTAGCGGGGCTCAGTCTGCGCGGGCCGGTCCCGACTCCCCTCGTGACGGCCGGCCCGCCGGGGTCAGAGGTCAGTGTCCTCTGGTCGTCGTGTTTGTCTTGGAAGCGTGGGGGCAGAGTCGCAGGCTGGCCTTCATCCCTCAGAACAACAACAACAACAACAACTGGGGGTTTTGTCGATTTGGCTGCCTCTGAGCTCCAGCTGCTCTGCAGGGAGGCTGCTCAGGCCACTGGCTCAGCGGAGGGCTGTCCGCGTCCCCCCTGATGCAGGAGCGGCTGTTCCGTGTCCCAGAGTCTCAGGGAGAAGGGAGTGGACACTCACTGCCAGGGCGCTCGGAGTCGGGCGTGCTGAGACCCCAGCAGTGGTCAGCCTGGGGGTACGTCACCTGGTGCAATGGCTGAAAGGCTTGGGCCTGTCCAGTTGTTTGAATGGGCACTCGTAGACTTGTCCCTCCACATCCTCTGAGCCCTGACGCCAGACCGCAGCAGCTGTGTCTGCAGTGCCTGGGGCAGGTTTGTACAGCGTGGGCATTTAGTCTGTCCTTGAAAATCCTGGCTCGGTCAGTGTTCAGTGTCAGGGAGTGCAGTGCGGTGTGAGCTCCTCATGGCCAGACTCAGGCTGCAGTCGGACTGTGTTCAGTGTCAGAGAATGCAGTGTCAGGTGTGAGCTTGTGCGTGTTTCTATGCATTCATGTGTGTACTTGTGTGTGTTTCAATCATTTTCACTTTTTCTCTTTTAACCTGTGCTGGTGAGGTTCCTCCAGAAATTTCTAAGGCTCAGGCGAGGTGTTGGGGTGTTTCAGCCTCAGGTGAGAAAGGGGAGCTGTGTCCCATTGGGGTGTCTCAGCCCCGGGTGAGGTGTTGGGGTGTCTCAGCCCTGGAGGAGGAGAGGAGATGTGCCCTGTCAGGGTGTCAGCCCCCGGTGAGGTGTCGGGGTGTCTCAGCCCCGGGGGAGAAGGGGAGCTGTGCCCTGTCGGGGTGTCTGTGTGTGTGCTGCCCTGATTCACCCCAACACAGTTCACCCACCTGGGCAAGAAGAGCCCGAAGGGCGGGTTCTGGTCCTGGTGGGGCCAGGCAGGTGTCCGGGGTGGTGTGGTGGCTCTGTGGCTGAGGATCTGCGCCTGTGGCTGGAAGGTTGCCGGTTCGTATCCCGCGAACAGCAGAGGAATCCTACTCCGTTGGGCCCCTGAGCGAGGCCCTTAACCCCAGCTGCTCCAGGGGCACAGGCTGACCCTGCGCTCTAACCCCAAGCTTCTCTCTCTCTGCGTCTGTGTCTCGTGGAGAGCAAGCTGGGGTCTGCGAAAATTCCTAATGCAAGTAATTGTATATGGCCAATAAAGTGATCTTATCTAATCTGGGAGAACTGGACTGTCGGGTGGGACCTGAGCCGCAGGAGCAGACTGGTCCCGTGCCTCTGACCGGCCTGGCAGGTTCCTCCAGAATGTCACTGCTGCGCCACAGAGCTGCCTCTTGCCTAATCCGCGGGGTCCCGCCCGCGGCCCCTGGATATTATCCTCTGGCAGAGACCGGCCGGGCAGCTGGTGCTGGGCAGAGCCGGAGAGCAGGGGAGAGAAAGCTATTGTGGGCCACGAACCGGCCGTATCTGCTCTCCTCATCAGCTGTTCGCCCTCGATATGATTTCCTCTGAAACGGTTAAGAAGGAGCTGGGCTGAGTGTGCCTGCGAGTGCTTCCTGAGCCGTCAGCTGTGAGAGCATCTGCGGCCCCAGCTCTGTGCTCTCCCAGTTTCTCAGGGGTCGGCTGATTGTCTTTCCTTCCGCTGGCCAGCTAAAGACCCTTCTGTCCTTCCTCTCACTCCCCGCTCAGCCAGAGAGAGACACAGAGAAACACGGTGAGGCACTGGGAGACACCGTGAGACACTGGGAGAGGCACTAAGAGACACTAGGAAATACTGAGAGACACTGGGAGAGGCATTAGGAGACACTGAGAGATGCTGGGAGAGATATTGGGAGACTGGTTTCCTCTTCTCTGTCCAAGGAAGATTTCTTTTTAGTTTCCGGTTCTTAGCCAGTGTCCCTGTTACTCCACTGGGTGTGAAATAACCTCCTGGATTGAGCCTGGCTGTACCTCAAGGTCTAGTGTACTTAACTCACCTCAGTGCCTGAGTGAATATTCCACATGGCCTCCACACCTCCCGCTGTACAGCACATCGCTCACTGGAGGTCTCGGGAGACTCTGCAGCAGTAGCTGCTCAGAGCTGATGCATACCGCGTGTTCCTGCTTTTAAACATTGCTCTGTTTCCTCCGTGACATCATCTAAATCTCCCTGTAACTCCCTGTTTTTTGTTTTCCACCCCACCTAGTTCTGCTTCATCTAAGTACTTTCCAGCCATAAATCTAACCAGTTTGCCAACTACAGGCAGAACTGAACTGGCTGTTGATGCTGGAGAAGCACAGTGGACCCCAGAGTGACCCCTGCAGCACGCCACTGCTCTCTGCTTGTGTTCGCTACAAGGAGGGCCCGTCTCCTGCTGAAAGCTCTCGGACAGTCTAAATACATCAGCTCCTCTTCCTCAGTCCATGTTGGATTGTCTCCTGAAATGCCAAAGGCTTGTCTGTAGTCTTCTGGTTTGACTCAGTACTGGTCAGCAGGAGAGAGATCCAGTTAGCCCCTTGTGCTCAATCTGGGGGTGCAGGTCCTCAGAGGACTGGGGTCACGGCGGAGGAGAGCAGGGCGCAGTGACGGGTGTCACAGGGACTCAGTACTGACTGCTCCAGTGCTCATTTACCAGCTGTACTCTCGATGTACTGTGTGCTGTTATTGATCCCGTTAGTGAGCGTTTGTGTGTGTGAGGCAGCGTGAGGGGTGTATGACTGAGTGGGGGGGTTTATGAATGGGTGAGGGAGTGTATGAATAAGTTAAGGGGTGTGCGAGTGAGGGGGTGCATGAGTGAGTGAGGGGTGTGTGAAGGAGTGAGCAGTTTGTGAATGAGTGAGGGGTGAGAGTGAGGGGTTTGTGAATGAGTGAGTAAGGGAGTGTGAGTCTGAGGGGTTTGTGAATGAGTGAGTGAGGGATCTGTGACTGAGTGAGTGAGGTGCGTGAGGAACAGTGTGAGCGAATGAGAGGGTGAGTGGATGAGAGGGTGAGGGTGTGTGTGAGTGAGGGTGTGTGAGTGAGCGGTTTGTGAATGAATGAGTGAAGGGTGTGAGTGTGAGGGCTTTGTGAATGAGTGAGTGAGGAGGTGTGTGAGTGAGTGAGGGGGTGTGAATGAGTGAGGGGGGTGTGAGTGAGTGAAGTAGTGTGTGAATGCATGAGTGACTGTGCAGCTGATTAAACAGTTCTGAAACTTTTCCACACGTTGACGGTTTATTATCAGTGTACAGTCATGTTTAGATTGTCAGGTTATATTTATTTCAACAAAGAAGCAGGCGTTTAGAAAAACAGTAAACAAGATTGCGAGAAGGTGGAGGGAGGCAAGAGCCTGCAGAGTCAGCAGGCTCGAACCCGGGGCACCCTGCTGAGGGCGCCCCCTCTGGCGGACGGAAAACAGACGTTTCTTCGCTCTGTCCTCTGACCCCAGGGACAGAAAGACAGCGGGGAGTAAAAATAAATTATCATAATTATAACAATAGAATAATAACAACAATAATAACAATAATAATAACAATAATAAACTGCTTTAAAATTAAGCTTTATAAACCTTTTTTTGTTTCTTTTTATGGTTCCTTATAAAAAGGAGGAGTCCGTGATGAGTAATCCAGCATCTGTCCTGTCCGGAGCCCCAGGGGGGCAGGAGCCCATCGCCGCCCCCTGGTGGCTCCCTCCCAGGGGCCGTCCCGGGCCTGGAGGGGGCACGGCGGGGGGACTGCCAGGGGACGGGCAGGAGCGGGGCAGGAGCGGGGCAGGAACAGGGCAGGAGTGGGGCAGGAGTGGGGCAGGAACAGGGCAGGAGTGGGGCAGGAGTGGGGCAGGAACAGGGCAGGAGTGGGGCAGGAACAGGGCAGGAACAGGGCAGGAGTGGGGCAGGAAGAGGGAGGGAGCGGGGCAGGAACGGGGCAGGAAGGGGGCAGGAACAGGGCAGGAACAGGGAGGGAGCGGGGCAGGAGCGGGGCAAGCAGGGGGCAGGAACGGGGAGGGAGCGGGGCAGGAACAGGGAGGGAGCGGGGCAGGAAGAGGGAGGGAGCGGGGCAGGAACGGGGCGGGAACAGGGAGGGAGTGGGGCAGGAACAGGGCAGGAACAGGGAGGGAGCGGGGCAGGAACAGGGAGGGAGTGGGGCAGGAACAGGGAGGGAGTGGGGCAGGAAGAGGGCAGGAACGGGGAGGGAGCGGGGCAGGAACAGGGAGGGAGCGGGGCAGGAACACGGCAGGAACAGGGAGGGAGCGGGGCAGGAGTGGGGCGGGTGGCTTTGGTTGTGGATCGTCCAGCCATCTGCTTGGGAAGGCGGCCGGAGCAGGATGTGGGGGGGGCCGTTCTCCCTCTCCCTCGCTGCCTTCCTCCGTTCGGACCGTTCGGCAGAGGCGCCCTGGGAACGCCGGGGGGTCCCGCAGCCCTGCGCCCGAAAACTCACATCCTTCCCGGCAGAAAACAAAATGGGGAGTCTAGTCCAAATGGAACCACCGTCCCCCGTAGTCCTCTCGCACGCCGAGAGCAGCGTCCAGACAGACCCCGGCGCCCGCCCCCCCGAAACACGGCGGGCGGACCTGCGGGGGGGGGGGCGCCCCCGCCAGTCAGCCCATGGCTGTCACCATGCTGGAGTGGGGGTGTGCGAAGGAGGGGTGGATGGGCGTGGGGGTGGGCAGGATGTGTCCCGAGTGGCTGAAGGGGGGCAGGTGTCCCATGTGGGACATGTGTCCCGCCAGGGCCGCGGCGCTGAACGGAGAAGACTTGTCCTGCATGCACTTGGACAGCTCCTCGAACCCCTCCGGGCCCTTCTTGCACTTCTTGGACTTGTTGGACATCTTGCGGTTGCGTGTCTGGATGCCTTCCTTCTTCATGGTGAGGGGCCGGTTCACCTGCAG